CAAGGACATTTGGGGACCCCCAGGGGCACTTGGGGACCCCCAGAGACATTTGGGGACCCCCCAGAGGTGACCAAGGGACACTTGGGGACCCCCAGAGATGACCAGGGGACCCCTGGGGACCCCCAGGGACATTTGGGGGACCCCCGGGGACACTTGGGGACCCCTGGGGCACTTGGGGACCCCCAGAGATGACCAGGGGACCCCTGGGGACCCCCAGGGACATTTGGGGGACCCCCGGGGACACTTGGGGACCCCTGGGGCACTTGGGGACCCCCAGAGATGACCAAGGGTGGCCATAGAACACTTGGGGACCCCCAGAGACATTTGGGGACCCCCCAGAGGTGACCAAGGGACACCTGGGGAACCCAAGAGATGGCCAAGGGTGGGCAGGGGACATGTGGGGACCCCCAGGGACACTTGGGGACCCCCCCAGAGATGGCTGAGGGTGGGCACAGGACATTTGGGGGACCCCGGGGGACACTTGGGGACCCCCACAGATGACCAAGGGTGGCCACAGGACATTTGGGGACCCCCCAGAGGTGACCAAGGGACACTCGGGGACCCCGAGAAGTGACCAAGGGTGGGCAGGGGACACTTGGGGACCCCCAGAGGCACTTGGGGACATTTGGGGACCCCCAGGGATGACCAAGGGTGGCCATAGGACATTTGGGGACCCCCAGGGACATTTGGGGACACTTGGGGACCCCCAGAGAAGGCTGAGAGTGGCCATAGGACCCCCAGGGACATTTGGGGGCCCCCCAGAGGTGACCAGGGGACACTTGGGGACCCCCAGGGACATTTGGGGACCCCCCCAGAGGTGACCAAGGGACACTCGGGGACCCCCAGAGATGGCCAAGGGTGGGCAGGGGACACCTGGGGACACTTGGGGACCCCCAGAGATGACCGAGGGTGGCCATGGGACACTTGGGGACCCGCAGGAACATTTGGGGACCCCCCAGAGATGTCGAGGGACCCCCATGTCCCCGCAGGGTCCCTCCCTCCCGCCCCTCCCCTCAGGCCTCGGCCCCGGTGCTGCCCCCGCCGGGCTCCGCCCCCACCTGGTGCCGCCGCAGCCGCTCCCGCAGCACCTCGTCGGTGCCGGCGGTGCCGCTGGAGGCCCGGCTCAGG